AAATCAATCCGTTAAACGTCATTAAAAAACGTATGCATGAAAATTAGAACATTTCTTATCGGACGATTTTATTGAAAAACTGACATACGGATGACGGACAAACGGATACATGAAAATTAAGCTTTACACGGTTGCTCAACGCATTCAAATTATTCAAATTCAAATTCAAAGTTTCAACGGCGTCATTTCACGCGGCGGCGATATCCAGTGGCCAACGAGATCATGCGATCTAACGCCGCTGGACTTTTTTGTGGGGCTACGTAAAGTCCCTTGTGTACGTAAATAAGCCACGAACAATTGAAGCACTGAAGGCCAACATTACTCGTATAATAAATGAAATCGAACCCGAAATGTGCGAAAAAGTGATAAAAAAATTTGACCTGCAGAATGCGCGCTGTGGAGCGCAGCCGCGGGGGCATTTGAAAGATGTTATTTTTCATAATTAATGCCATAGGATGTTCTTTTAAATAAATATATTTTTTTCCTAATATCTTAAGTGTAGTTTGTTTTATTTTATTTTAAAGTTAGAGCACTCTTAAGTGGACACCCTTTATAATTTGAAATGTTGAATACATTACTTATTTAAATATAAAACGTTTTTAAACTAATTTCCAGTCTTTAAAGGTATCAAAACATCGAATAACCATCAAAGTTTAAAATATTTCCTTTAAATTTACCGCGCACCCCTTCCAACTTTAATTCTAAACGCTTAAATCATTGCCCGACCGCATAATAGGGAAATAGTAATCACAGAAATTTTCGCTTCATATACGTTACACATTGCCGATACAACATCATGCTCCCCACCGCTGCACGGTGCCGCCGGCACCCCCGCAAGGCGGGGATAATACGCGAATTTTTGTAGACATTGAGGCCCATAAAGTTGGGCTTGTACCACAGTATATGGAAGACAGCAGAGTCAGTCCCGAGATCTGTGCGGCTCGCTTATCAGCCGTTGTAAAAGACTGGGCGGGGCGTGGAATGCTTTAGTAAACAAAGCTTATTAATTAGATCTATGCGTGTTTATGGTTTCTTATTTTTGTTTAGTCTTTACCTTAGCGTTAAAATGGAAAGTTGTAATAAAAATGCAAGGGTAAAATACATTATTGTGTTGTGAATTCATGTAAAAATAATTCAAATAATTATAAAAGATAATTTTTATTTTAATATACTACACTTATCAACGTTTATATTGCATCACCCAAAATTCAAACGATACTACTGACTAAATAATAATTTTACTTTAACCGAAAGTATATCAAGATTATTAATTGACAATGTTTTTTGTTCTTTTTTAACCACAGTTTGAACTAAAAGTATAAAAATAAAATATACAGTTCTAAATTAAGAAATACAGGGTGATGCAGTATAAAAGTTGATGAGTGTATTATATTAACACACAAATACCACAGTAAAAATCACAAAAAATATAAATAAAAATATTCATGTTTTTTTATAGTTCAGTGTTATATCGTTGAGTTTCATATACCTACTGTGTTTGTACATTATTATTTTGTTGTTGGGCGGTTGTGCCTTTATTAATCTAAAAATAATTATTGTAAGATAGGTAAAAATGAGCAGTACCTCCTGGGTAATGTGGAAACCTGCTGAAGGAATAAATAAAAATCCCACCTCGCTTTGTATTTTTGTATTATTCTAGCTAAATTTTGAAAATTCTTCTTGTGAAAGAACATATTTTTAAATAATACATTTTTATTATTTAGATTCTGAAGTGCTCCAAAAACGCGAGACCTTGAAAATTTCAAAAAAAAAATTGCCTGCGGCGCCATATAGCGGTTCATAGGCCTCACCTTAATGAATGGTCACGAGCCGCCACTGCTCCAACGTGAAGTGCCCATAAAACATTCTCTTTTCTGTCACTGTGAAAAACTGCTTGTATATATAGGTATCATCATTTTGGTCCATTTTCAAGGGTTAAATTTCGATTTACACATACAAATTTGACAATTTGACTGGCGCGCCGGTAATATATTTCCAAGTTAGAAATTGTTACGCAAGTTACTCTATTATTTATAGATGTCGCTCTATACAAATATTTAATGTAAATCATTTTTAGAAAATAAGACACTTATTTAATTTAACACTCGCTCGCAAGCTCGCCAGTGCCTAACTAAAATTCGTCTCTAAAATGGCGTTTATCAAACTTGATACGTATGTAAAATACTAATATCTGCTCTTTATGACGTTTTAGTCACGGGATGAAGTTAGCAACAGTGAGTTTCTGGCTTTTTACTCACAGGCTAAAGTTGCCCAAGCAGCATTTTTGGTTCCAAAATCATTATCAAAGTGGTAATAACTTTAAATTAGTTAAGTATTCCAAACAGCTACTTTAATTTTTACTTAAAAGTAATTCTAACTTTTAAATAGCAATATTTTGTAACAGAAACTTTATTCTTTCCTTAAATGGTTACTATAAAGTAATAAACATTTAAGTAAAACTTGGTTGCTCCCAAGAAGACTTTGCAACTTTAAAAAAGGTGTTATAAGTAAAAAAAACTTTCAAGTAAACTAAATTTGTAGCAGTTACTTTCGGTTGCTACCTAAAGACTACATTATAATTATTTTTACTTTGTAGTCCTTTTGCAAGTTAAAATCTCGAAACTGGAACATGAGTTAAAAACTACAAATTTAATAACTTAAAAGTTATTATTTTAGAATTTGGAACGATTATGGTACTAACCAAAACTACAGTAAAGTACATTAAGATGGAAAAAATTTTTAAAGTAGCGAAAACTTCTTCAAATGAAAATGCTTCTTATCGGCCATTATTTACTGTACAGTACTACGTGGTAATGTAAATAATAAATTATTTTAATTGTTGGTAAATGGTTGTTTACTTTTTAATAAATAGTAATTTTGTTGGTAATAGACGGTATTAATAATTAAATAAAGAATTAATAATAAATATAATTTTTTTTTTATTTATAAACATTATTAAATAAATACATTGTTTATACTTAAATATTGATGAAGCGCATTTATTTTACAAAAACTGAATTCAAAAGTTCAAAAGTAAAATTTAAAGGGTTTATAAACTTTCCTGCCTAATTAAACATTATATTGTTATTCTGGAAGTTATAAACTACCAGTACATATTTAATAAACGACGTCATTGAAAAGCCAAGTCCGTATTGGTTCCATTTAAAAAAGAAAGGATAGTATAATCTAATATAAGTTTGACAAAGACAGTTAATATAGAAGTAAAAACAAATATATTTATTTATAAATAAAAGTAATTATAACGCTCTAGCAACGATATTGAAACGTTCTAGTAACGTAGCAGCTACGTTCCAAATAGTAGCAGGGTTTATAGCTAGTGACATATTTGTTACCTTTTTGAAACTCGTCGTAACTTAGTAATGAAAGAGTATGTAATATAAAGAGACCGGCGACTGTCGCAAAACACTTTAAAGTTTCTTCAATAGTCCCATATACGTAACAAATACTACAAATTGTTGCTTGGGTGGCTTCTATTATAAATTAATAAAAAGAAAGGTTAAATTCGTCAGATGATTGTCAAATGTCAAGATACCAAAAGGTTTTTATCAAACACTTGCTGGCAAGCTTCCCAAGCAACAATTTAAGTATTTGTTACGTATATGGGACTATTGAAGAAACTTTAAAGTGTTTTGCGACAGTCGCCGGTCTCTCTATATTACTCTTTTATTACTAAGTTACGACTAAAGTGGGGAACAATTATTGAGTTCCAAAAAGGTAGCAAATATGTCACTAGCTATAAACCCTGCTACTATTTGGAACGTAGCTGCTACGTTACTAGAACGTTCCAATATCGTTGCTAGAGCGTTATAATTACTTTTATTTATTTGTTTTTACTTCTATATTAACTGTCTTTGTCAAACTTATATTAGATTATACTATCCCTCCTTTTTTAAGTGGAACCACTACGGACTTGGCTTTTCAATGTCGTCGTTTATTAAATATGTACTGGTAGTTTATAACTTTCAGAATAACAATATAGGTACTGTTTAATTAGGCAGGTAAATTTATAAACCCTTTAAATTTTACTGTTGAACTTTTGAATTTAGTTTATGTAAAATAAATGCGCTTCATCACTATTTAAGTATAAACAAATTATTTATTTAGTAATGTTTATAAATAAAAAAATCTTAATATTTATTATTAATTTTTTTATTTAATTATTATTACCGTCTATTACCAAAAAAATTACTATTTATTAAAAAGTAAACAACCATTTACAAACAGTTAAAATAATTTATTATTTTATTTACATTACCACGTGGTACTGTACAGTAAAAAATGGCCGATAAGAAGCATTTTCCTTTGAAGTATTTTTCGCTACTTTAAAGTTTTTTCCACTTTACGGTTGTTTTGGTTAGTACCATAAACGTTCCAAATACTAAAATAATAACTTTTAAGTTATTAACTTTGTAGTTTTTAACTCATGTTCCAGTTTCGAGATTTTAACTTGCAAAGGGACTACAAAGTAAAAATAATTATAATGTAATCTTTAGGTAGCAACCGAAAGTAACTGCTACAAATTAAATTTACTTGAAAGTTTTTTTTACTTATAACACCTTTTTTAAAGTTGCAAAAGTCTTCTTGGGGGCAACCAAGTTTTACTTAAATGTTTATTACTTTATAGTAACCATTTAAGGAAAAATTAAGTTTCTGTTACAAAATATTGCTATTTAATAGTTAGAATTACTTTTAAGTAAAAATTAAAGTAGCTGTTTAGTATACTTAACTTATTTAAAGTTATCACCACTTTGGCAATGGTTTTTGGAACCAAAAATGCTGCTTGGGTTCGCTCGTGCCTAATTAAAACTCGTGACTAAATGCCGTTTATCAAACCTGAAACATAATATAGGTACTGTTGTATTCAATTGCACAGACTGTATATCAAAAAAATAAACGCACTGTAGGTATTCTTAAAAATAAAAAACTTTATTTTATTGATGTATAATAAAACAGTATTAAATAATATTAACATACCTAGAAACAAATATATATATAAACATAATGGATATTTTCAACTATAGTGGTAAACCAAAAACAAAATATAAAACTTAAACCACACGTGTGGTACTATCTCGAATATCTTTTTTACAGATATGAATCCCAACATAGAAAAATACCAACTAAAGTGGCATTCCTTCAACACATATCTCCATTCCTGCGTATCGTCTTCATTGCACAATGAATCCTACACAGATGTAGCCCTTGTGACCACAGATGGCCACCAAATTATGGCCCACAGGTTCGTTTTGGCATACAGCAGCCAGTTTTTGCAGGAAGTGTTAAAGTTTCAACCAAAAGTCACCACATCCTTACCACTGATGATAGTATTACCACCGGAGATAAGTTTCAAGACTTTGAAGATACTTATTAAATATATGTATAGTGGTGAAGCAACTGTCACAAAAGATATATTGGATAGTGTTTTAAAAGGTGGAGAGATTTTAAAAGTTAAGGGCTTATATAGACCCAAGGAGGAAATGCAGGGTTGTAAGAGGTCTGAAAGTGTCTGCTCATCTCCTGGGATATCAACTTCAGGTAATTATTTCCCTTATACTCTTTAAGATACTTTCATCGTAAATCTTGATTTTTTTCAGGTGTTGCATCATCTGGTCAACCATCACCAAGCCCTGTAGCAATCACCCAAGAAAAAACAGTTCAACATCCCAACCCAACCCAACAGAAACTAAAAACCATAGCACCAAAAACGATAACGATACCCAGAAATGTAATAGCGAGTGCCATGAAAGTCAAAAGCCAACCAAACACTTCCGCAAAAGTCTTAAATTATTCCCTAAATGTTAAACAGTCACAACCTAAAGAAACACTTAAGGAAAAAAGTGTTGGCAATCAGGTTAAAGTGATTTCTGGGAAAACAAGGAGGGAAACAATGGAAAGTGAGGAACAGAATGATGATGAAGACAATAAGGAAACATTGCAGTTTGTGGTGATCAAGGATGAACCTATTGAATGGTAAGTAAGTGTTTTTTCGGCGATTATATTATACTCGTATACCATATAACATATCGTCGTCGGGCCTGCAATACCTTCAATGTGGCCCAATGTGACAATATACTCCAAATTTCGTTTATGATATTAACATATTTTTCTGAGCCTTGCGCACATTTTTCTAATATCTAAAATGTAAAATCATATTTTGCGCACTTATGCATGATTTAAAAACCGCCAATATTTAATCAGTTAAACGTTTTTAGTCTCTCCTTTAAAATTTTGGATATTGCACGCCCGGCGACGATATAATATATATATAATAATATTATATGCAATGTTTTTTCGGTAACTGTCATTTTGACAGCTGTCATTTCGGCACCTGTTATTTTATCAGCCGTCATTTTGGCACCTCTGCTGTGCAATTTAGGCACTTTTTACAGATGTCATTTTAGCACCTGTCATTTTGACAGCTGTCATTTCGAACAGAAATTGAGAAAACCGAACGTCGATTAAAACTGATCGAAATCTTAGGACAATACGCTAAAGATCATCGCTAGTAACGCCACCTTGTGGACGTTATCATCGTAACAAATGTACAACTTTTAATAATCAGCTGTCAAACGCGTATGTTATAAACAAATGTTTTTGAGAATAAGGCCGGAAAATGTAAAAAATATCGAAAAAACGGAACGATTTGTCGTGTTGTTGGGTGTTTTACGAGGGGAAATTATGGGTTGAGTTTTTACCGGTTTCCCAATAAACAGTGGAAATCCGAGTAAAGAAATAAATTTCATACAGTCCCTGTAAATATAAATTGTACCTATTACAAAGATTAAACATATTTTTTGCGAAGAAAAGTATATTTAGTCTTTGCTATTACTGCGCGTCAAAATTAACGCATAATAAGTAAAAAAATTCAAATTCTAAAACGCCTTTACCAATCTTTATGAAATTTTGTATAAAAATACTTCAACTTAATCTCAGTTTAAGTGTTCAAGGGTTTTTCGAAAAAATATATTTTTATTTAATAATAAAAAAACGTTTAAAAAATTTTACGGATTTTTTTTTAAGTAAATAAAAAATATGCTGTTAAAGACCGTATTTTTGTTAGTATACCCTGAAATTTGTACAAATCATATAAGAACAGTAACGGTCATTTTTGACGACTAAAGCGCTGTATTTTCTCTACTGTTCGTTTGATTTGTACTACATTTTCTAGGTGTACTTACAAAAATACGGTATTTCACAGCATATTTTTATTTATTTAAAAAAAATTATAATTTAGATAAAAAAAAATTAATTTTTATAATAATTATTTTAAAAAATAACATATTTGCGTAAAAAAACCAGAAATCAAAAATAAATAAGCTTTTATTTATTTCTGAAGCTTTATAAAATATACAAACCAAAAAGTAAACTTTATTACCTTGTAGTAAGAGAACCGTGCCAAAACTCACCACGATGTTAACGTGCAGTGTTGCCAGATTTTGCGACTTCTCGCATTTTTAACTCTGTAGTACAGAGTCTGTACCTACTTTTTTTAGAAAGACTTTTTTTAGGAAGACGCACTGGGCAAAAATCGTTGATAATCTCTAATTTCGATACTCTGTGGTCTCATTATTATAGGATAAAGTAGTGTTTTGTTCCCTACCTTGTTGGTTTTTTATCGGTTGGTGGATGGTGGTAAATGGTTTCCAAACTTTTATGCGACTTATTTTATCGTCCGTGCGCCAGACTGAAAAAAAAATCTGGCAACACTGCCACGCCGCTTGATGTATTTTCTATATATATGTATAGTATAGTAAAAGTACCTATAATAATAATTCTGTTTTTTACTTAAAATAAAAGCATTGTTAGGAAAAACTTCTTAATTGCACTATGGAGATGACCTACTTACCTAGCATATATGCTAGGTAAGTAGGTCATCTCCATAGTATACATATATGTATGTTTCGGAATTTAGGACTATAGTATAATTAATTAAATTTAAAAATGCTAGGTAATTATAATTATTTAGTATACTTAAGTAGATCATCTCAATAGTGCAATTAAATCGTTTTTTTAAACAATGCTTTATTTTGAGTAAAAACAGATGTTTAAGAATTTGTTTCAAAAATATTTCAAATAAATATATCCAAAATATTACTTTAATCGAGATATACCAGGTATATTCCTTAGTAATATAAACCATAATAATATTTCTGAGATATACCTACCATGTTTATTCCTTAGAAATATGAAACATAAAAGAAATAATGCAATATTTTTAAGGGTATCTGAAAGATTGTGTGCTATCTGGATTTACATGAAAATTGTTAACATTTCAATTCAGTAAAAATCATTATTATTTTTTGTTAGATTTCTTAAAAATGTCCAAATTTAAATATAAATTTTATTAGTTATAACTGATACAAAAACACAGTAATTCACCATAATTACTTAAATTATTTACAAACACTAACGTAACTAAGTATATAAGCATATAAGCGTTGAGTTTCTTTATTGATCAATGAAATAAGGAATAACAAATCGAAATCGAGTACCATAGTTTTTTATTTTTACCTGCAACACGAAATACAAATAACTAGCTGTGCAATTTAAACTTTGCGAACAAAATTTGTCAAGTAAGTTTGCATATTGATCCTTTAAATGTATTCTTGACAATTTTTGAATTCCCACAATACTATCGAGCGCCACTAGATGGCGCGCGCATTGCGAAAACCCGATGCTTCTCTAGCGCATAGTTTAAAATTGAAAAAATCGAACAGCGTTTAAAACCGATTGAAATCATAGCCCAAGTAACATTTTTAGTTTTATTATGGTCTTCAAGAACGCTTTAAAACAAGCGTTCTTGAAGACCATAATAAAACTAAAAATGTAGTTTAAACATTATTTAGCAATTGGAAATAACAATAACAAAACAAATAACAAAATTAAACGACGATTAAAACCAATTGTAGTTCGGTTTGAAAATAATTGAGGCGCTTCTTACAAAAACAGTCATAATCCAAATTGGTATTTACGCATACGTACCCCTAAACCACAGTTAGGTTTAGGTACGTACCTACGTACACTATTTTAATTTAATATTTCGGGGTAGTAATCGTTAATTTAGCAAGATTGTATATGACATTATAAATAGATATTGTATTGTATTGTATATGACATTATAAATAGATATTTTTATGACAAATCATTAGGCCTATCTTGATAAGTTTTTAAGATATGGATGTTTTAAATAAAAAATAATTAACAAGACATTTTTGGACTATTGCTGTTTTTGTAATAAGCGCCCTAATTGAAATATTGATTTCTAGTTAAATTTCCTATTCAATATAATATTATAAACGATTTCACCAATAAAAAAAAAAACAATTCAAAAAGAGTGAAAACGAAATTTTGTATCGGGTTCTACCGATTCGGTGCCTGCCTAAAATGTTCGGTAGTACCGAACATTTTAGGCAGGCACTGCCTGGCAGGCAGTATAAAAAAAGATAATATTATCTGGGTATATCCTATAATCACTGCATAGTAAGCACTCAGCTATTTCTCTTTTAGCATTTCAGTTCTATCTATGCGTAAAAATTTGTCAAATAGAGCACCTGTATAATTCTATTTGGATTTGCGTCTTATGTTTTTTTAAGAAACAAAATTCGAGGATGTAGATTTTCTTAATTCAAAATAATTTTAAATTGAAAAAATATAATGATAGAATTATTCTATGATCGTAATATAAGTATACCGTCATTGGCCATGGTCTACCCTGCATGGTCTACTATAAAAAGTCAATTTGGAAAATAATAATAAAACACCATGTAGAAAAAATGAGGTGTGATCCTTAGACCTTTGAAATAAAAAAACAAAATATTAAGAAAACATTTCTAAATAATTGATGAAATTTTTATACATTAATTATTCATTTTATTTTTTTAGGTCTGAAGTAAGCCAAGAAATGGAACTGATGGATGATAAGAGCGTTTTTAGTGACATAGAAGTGAAACATGAGCTATATAGCGAAGATTCGGTGAACTCTACGGGGGAAGATAACGAGCAACTTTACACACCCCTCACTTGTGAGCTGTGCACCGAAACATTCACGTTACCGGCCGAATGGGTGCGACATGTACAAACACACACAGACATGTTGCCGGCTAAAAGACAGAGAAGGGATATGCCTGATGGTCCAGTGAGTATTAAATGTATTTATCGATCAATAGTAGAATATCGTCCTCTGACTAGCCCATTAAAAAATAACTATTTTTACTGGACCCGTACCGACACTTTACTATGTTTGCTGGGCTGTTATAACCTTGGATTTCTGGGTTGCAAATATATTTGTAACCCAGAGAACCAAGGTTTGGCAGGGAAGATATTCAATTTTTTTAACTATGTTTGGTGTACAATATTTTACAATATATTGGCGTTTATTTGGACATATTATTTGTCATTTTCGTCACGTTTTACCAAAAAGTGACATGGATGGATTTAAATCCATGGTCACTTGCACTTTGGTCACATTTGGCCCTTTGTACTACATCCAAGGAGTCCAATTAACTGATTATTCTTGCTCATCTTTATGGATCTCGAGCCATCCAAACTTCTGAAAGAATTTAAGGAAGGAGGCTGGAGATGTGGAGCTAATATCGGTTGTCCCAAATCATACTTTTCCTAAATTGGACCAGTCATAAATAATATGCATCACTAACACATGGTTATTTCTGAACGATTATAAGTTTTTGCGCCATTTACAGAATATCTCGTATTCCTTTTGATATCGTCCGGAAGACTTGACCGGGATAAGATTCAAAACGATGCTGAACTGACAGACAAGACAATCAATAAAAAAACTCTTTGTTACTGTTAGCAACCGATTTAAAGCATAGTACATTATCACCCTATATTACTGGTGCTACATTTTATAGTTACAATACTAATACCATCATGTACTGATACCATCATGTACTGACACCTTACTGACACCTTCACCTGAATATACAGTTCAATTTTTGTACCAAAAATTTGAAAAAAATATTGAATAGTATGAAATAAAAAATTGTACGATACACGCCCGTGAAATGTCATTAAAGTACTTGTCTAGAAATTCCAGACTCGGCTCCTTCGTCGCCTCGTCCGTAAACATCTAGACTCGTACTTTAATAAGCCATTTCCCGGCCTTGTAACGTAATTTACTATTGCGGGATAGCTGCAGACTATATTTTGCCAACCTGTCAGACGGATTACTAATTATAGTTTAGTCTGACTTTGTTATCTATGAGTCTGACGACCTAAGTTAACACATATTTTTTGTGGGTTGATTTCTTTATTGGGAAATTCAAGGCAGATTTTGATATAGACAAGATGGGTTCAGGACCTATTCGCAGTTTTATCGTTCCCTGACTTGCAAGTTCATCGACCTTTTTATTTCCTTTATTTCCTTTTTACTCATGCATAACAAACAACACGTGTAGGGTCAAAACTTTTCAAATGGGCCACTTTAAAATCAAAGTTGTAATTTTTTTGTTTATTTCGCAGATTTCGATTCATTATGCTTCCAAAAACAATGCTCTAAAAAATAATGTGTCCTTTTAAAAACATAAATATTTTCGATAAATATTCGAAACTTTACATGCGATACGTCATTTTTTGTTAAAAGACTGTATTTTATGAAAAACAAAACGATTAGGTATTATTTAATATAAGTATATTTATAAATAATAGTATATATATTTATAAATAATAATACAATAATATTATGTATCAAGTTTTATAAACGCCATTTTAGTTACGAGTTTTATTATGCACGAGCGAAGCTTGCGAGCCAGTGATTAATAAAAACGAAAAAAAAAAAACTAGAGAAGTTTATAAAACGAGTTGCATACTATACTTTATCTACGACGTACATAACACGAGAATTTATAGCCAATTTTATTTGTTACACTTTTGACATCTGTCAAACGGCTTTAACCTCACTTTTTCCTAATTTATAATAAAGCTAACTTCAGCCCGTAACTAAAATGTCCAAAAGCCACTATTGCTAAATTCAGCCCGTGACTAAAACGCCATAAAGTCAAAGCTCGTCAATGTAGGAGTAGATAAAATATATTTATTATAAACAATTGAAAATCAATTCAACTTCTGTGCCTGCGGAAAAAATGTTTTTCACAAGTTTTGATGCGCAAAACTATTAGGTACTAAACTTTCTGTAAAAGAAAAAAAAAATCTTTATAACAACAAAAGTTATGAACATGTTTGTCAGCGGGCGTTAAACTATAAGAGCGTAGGTTATTTATGGCGCGCAGCAGCAGCTTTCCAATATTTTTTAAAAGTGGCCTTAAAAACCTCACTTGAATAAAATACGACCCCTTTGTAATTGAAGCAGGTTGGCATTTTACCATCTCCCATGGGAAAGGTGCTTGTCATCACCATCGTATAGGAGGGACAGTTAAATTATATTATACCTACAAGTTTACAAAAAAAAACTAAAATCCCCAGAAGAATATTCTTCTTATAATATTATAAGCATGGGCAAAAACATTTTTATCAGTTTTTATTTGGGTAAAAAAGAAAAATATGAATTTAATAATAAAAACAAAATCATGGTTTTCCACCTTCATCAAAAAACCAAATGATTTTGTAAAATATTTTCTGAACAAAAAAATATAAGTTTATAATACTTATTTTTTTAACCGTGCCATCACCGCTAAAGTTGTTCAAATTAAAAAAAAACAACAAAATATCAATAACGATTCTACAAGTGATCTACCAGAACCAAGTGCAAAAAGGGTTCAAATTGCCTGGATTAAGTCCCAAAGTGCTTTACCTATGAAAAAGGGTGTGAGTAAGACGATTAGTTTCAACGAATAATTTCCTGGACTACCAGACGTGCTACAGTGGGCGGTCGAGGTTAAGGAACAATTTCATTACACCTGCCTGTCAATTCACCCAAAGTCCAAGTCTGCATAAACCGGATAAGTAAAATTTACCAAAATTGCATTGTATTATTATTAAATAATAATACTCAAATAATATTAATACTAAATTTTAATACGAAATCCGTCCTGGCGACAACATTCCGGGAGTGGGCTTAACCATCGACACTGCAGCAAAAACTACTTTTTAGTTAAAATAACATGTATTTCACGTCCCAAACAAGTCCGCCCTAAATCACATCACAAATATGACATCCTAAAATAACGTTATTTTGATGTGAAAGTTACGTTATTTTTAGGATGTCTTAAAATAACGTTATTTCAATATCCAAATCACGTTATTTTAGGATGTCATATTTGTGATGTTATTTAAATAACATCCCTAATTAGGGCGGACATAATATGATTTGTTTGGGACGTGAAATACATGTTATTTTAACTAAAAAGTAGTTTTTGCTTCCTGGGTGTCATCCACGACCTCCTAGGGGGGATTTACCAACGGGGGTGAAAATTCAGTTCCACCAATCACAGGTAATGCTGTGCAGTGGCGGGATACGTAGGAGAACTAAAAGGGGGTAAAATAACCCTGGGAGATCAGTGTAAGGCGTTGCCGATCGGGCCTGCCATAAGTTCCTTATACTCATACTCATAGATAACAAAGCCTTACTCATATTCATATTCAAAATATAAGTTTATGACATGAAATATGAAATATACATGTTATGTCTATTGTAGGGGAAGGGGGGGGGGAATTCTGCGCATCTAAGCAAAATCTCTAGTATCTTTGTTAAGTTTAAATGTGAAATTTTGCAATTAATACCAGCGATAGTCTACTATGTTTACTATGAGTATATAATGCGGAATTTATAAAAAAAAATTGTTTGGTATGCAAAAACTACATTTTTTAAATAATGCATTTGCGCAAAATTACCCACCTATCAGGGTAATTTTGCGCATCATAGGGGGAAATTAGCGCTGTATAGAGAAAGATTTGTAGGTATCTAAATAAACCGTTTATTTCTATAATATTATTATATTAAAACATAAAAATAAAACAAAACTATTTTCTCTATGAAACAAACAAAACAAACAAAATCAAAAATAAATAACTGTTCTTAGAAATAAGAGGAGGGTCTACATGCAGCAGTTGTCACATATGTAGTTTTAGGGGTTGTTTTTTTCGCTACACTCCGCGTGTGCCCAAATGGAACTGTTTATGCTGAACAATCTAGGCTCCTGTGCCAAAGCTCCCATATTGGCCAAATTTTGTAGCGCAAAATTACCCCAATTTTTCAGCGTAAAATTACCCCCATTGCAAGAAAAATATTGTGATACTAAAAAACTTTCCAAAAGTTAACCTGAACAATTTAAACATACACCAGATTACGAGGAAAGATCATATAAAGTTGTGTTATAAACATTTAAGCGATTGGACAGAAATTTAAACTTAACTCGTAGCGGAAACGACATGGATTTCTTAGATCAACGTACTTGTATCACAGTTAGCTAGTGACCATGGTCACTAGCTAAAAGCTACAAGCTTAATTGCGGTACACTTTAGTCCCCGTATACCCAAAGCAACGTTTCCAAGTTTGCAACATTCAAAAAATGTATTATTTACTTCATATCTGGAAGAATTGTTTATGCGTAAAATTACCCACCGCGCAAAATTCCCCCACCTTCCCCTAGTGTTTTATATTGATTGACAAAAATGTTTATAACTTGTGTTGATATTAGTAATAAGAATGTTTCTTTTTCTCAAAATACTTTTGCACATCAAAATATGTAAAACACAAAAAGGCGAAAGGGCAATACCTGGCCAAGTTTAGACCTAATATGGCTCTCTGGGAAATTACCTAACTATATATAATGAAGTTAAAATTTGTTACTATAAAAAGTTACATGTTACTTCTAAAAAAAGTACTTATTAGTTATACCTATACCTATACTTAAGATTTCACCGCGCAGGACCGCGTGGTATTGTGTGCTATTTTCGGAACACCCTGTGTATATAAAATTTTTGTTTTAGGATGACAACGGTTCGTTCCCGCCACTACACTGCGACCTGTGTCAAAAATACTTCCCGACCCCGGCCGAGTGGGTGCAGCACATACAAGGCGAGCACACAGAGTTCGAGCTCAGGTTATCAAACAACGAAAAAAAAGGTCCGAAATCCAAGGAAGCGACTCAAGAGGTGAGCGCGTTTAAAGTGACCAGTCAAGGTTCTTTGAAGGTTTGTACGGAATGTAACAGAATTTTTCCATCTCACGCATCAATGCTAATTCATAGACGTACGCACACCGGAGAGAGGCCTTATAGGTGCGATGTATGTCAGAAGGGGTTCAATGTCAAAAGCAACCTGTTGAGGCACCTAAGGACCGTGCACGACAAAATCCTTCGACCTAATGAACTTGAGAAGACAGATGAAGAAAGCGGAGGCGAATAATTTCTCATTTTTTGATCAATATTGTATATATTTGTTTTATTTCCTCAAATTATAAGTGTGGAATAAAGAGTTCTATGCATTATTTATGCATTTTATTTACATTCGTATGTATGTCCGATAAATTAAAAAAAAAATAAATTCAAATATTTATAGGGCCCTAACATTTTTTAGTCCGTTCCTCACAAATTGGTAATTAGAAATTGGGCTATTTATACAAATTTCCTAATTTAAAATGATTATTAGACAAGTATTATGCAAAATTAGAGAAAATTGGATAAAAATATCGTTAAGATTATGATAAAAACTAATTACAATTTTAAATTTGTCAAATTATTTACCTACCTAGGTACAGTCGGGAGCAATAGCTTCAATATTCAAAATATTCAAAAATAGCTTGCGGTCGGAGTCATAGCTCCGCCTACTCTAGGATCTTAAACAATGTAAAACCATTGAGTAAAGTGTGTTCTTTACTCAATGGTAAAACCATTCACTCAACCACAGACTGTGCACTCAACGGTAAAACCAGGGTAAACCCTGGGTTACCCAGGCTGGGTAAAACGGTGGTACACCCATAGATTAGATAAAGTACACCACGCAACGGCTGCAGGCGAATATAAACCTAACAGTAGCACTGATTCAATGCACGTGACTGTACATTGCAGGTCCTACAATAATAGAGTAATTGCATCAAAAATGAAAATCCCTAAAAACCTTTTTAATGTAATCTAGAGGTAAAAACACATTGCAAAAATATTTTTTTATATTCCAAAAGTTCAACCCGGCCCCAAAATATCAAATTAAAAAAAAGGTACTTTTCAAACGTTCCGAACTCCCGCCAAATTGCATGACGTCATAAGCTCCAACTGTCAGAAATCAAGATGTCAACAAATAATAAACACCGATAAAGTTTATGTTTAACATGGAAAAGGCGAAACCAAAAATTGGTTGTAAATATTGTTTTGTGCCTTGTTGTACAAATACAACCTGGAAAACTCCTGGGAAAGTTGTCCCTTCAATTATCAAAAGCAAAGTTTATGACCCTACACTGAGAGTAGTTACGGCTCAGCCGTATTTTCTTGGGTTTATTAATATTTAACATACCTATTCAAACCATATACCTAGTAAACGACATTTTATTTTACTTACATTAAAATGATCCTTAAAATGAATAATAAAATGTTGACTGCGGTGACGATGTTTTGATATCGCGCCGAGCTATTTTAATCCACTTTATCCTTATTTTCCCTTTTGGCACGGTGATAAACCTTTTCCCAGGAGTTTTCCAGGTTGTATTTATACAAGGCACAAAACAATATTTACAACCAATTTTTGGTTTCGCGTTTTCCATGTTAAACTTTATCGGTGTTTATTATTTGTTGACATCTTGATTTCTGACAGTTGGAGCTTATGACGTCATGCAATTTGGCGGGAGTTCGGAACGTTTGAAAAGTACCTTTTTTTCAATTTGATATTTTGGACCCGGGTTGAACTTTTGAAATATAAAAAAATATTTTCGCAATGTGTTTTTACCTCTAGATTACAATAAAAAGGTTTTTAGGGATTTTCATTTTTGATGCAATTACTCTATTGCTTACGATTTAAAATGAATACTTTAAAATTCTTGCTACTAATAACGGCTTATGTTAATCACAAAATATTGTTCTATTAATTAGGCAACAAAAACTATAAAAACTACAATTTTAATTAATTAAATAGTAGGTAGTTCTGTGAGTAAAAATTTTCGAAGAGCCTGTTAATGTCGATAAAACAGCATCTCTACATTACCGACGCTTTCAAAAACGCTTTGTTTTGAATTGACGGTTATGTTTGGCGGCCTTTGGCTTTAAAAATGCATTTAAAACGCAAGTTTTTCATTTAAAGTGTTTCCAAATAGTGTCTTTTAAGGTTTTATAGTGCAAAATGTTCATAAAATCAATTGTCTTGGACGGTTTTAAGTCCTACGGGCAAAGGACTGAAGTGACAGGATTTGATCAGCAATTTAATGCTATAACTGGGTTAAATGGTAGTGGAAAGTCGAATATTTTGGATTCTATTTGTTTTGTATTGGGGATATCCAATTTAAGTCATGTAAGATACAATAAACATTAAATTTTATGTTTTATAACCTTACTTCCTTATAGGTTCGAGCTGGTAGTTTACAAGACTTAATCTACAAAAGTGGGCAAGCAGGGATAAATAAAGCCACAGTTTCTATAACTTTTGATAATAGAAATGCTGCGCAATGTCCTCCAGGATTCGAAAATTACCCAGAAATAACAATTACAAGGCAAATTGTAATGGGCGGGAAAAATAAGTATATGATTAATGGTACAAATATTCCCAATAAGAAAGTGCAGGATTTATTTTGTTCCATACAGTTGAACGTAAATAATCCGCATTTTTTGATTATGCAAGGCAGAATTACCAAAGTTTTAAATATGAAGCCTGTTGAGGTAAATTTTTGTTTACACAAACTATATTTCATATTTCTATGCTTTATTTTAAAAAGCCATACATTTTGTTATTTCTCATCTAAAAATGGTTGTTATAAGAACAATTCAAATACAAGTTAGTGTCAAAAAGAAGTATTCTCATTATAAAGCGTGATTTTTTAAGTGTGTCCGAACTTCTGACAAGTGTCGCGGTCAAACAAACTGTCAATTTTTATGCATCTAGAAACTAAGTTACTCAGTATAGTCTGACAAATCATCATGGAACGTTTAACGCTTGCAAATTGTCGAAATTTACCATCAAAACCATTGTTTTGTGCGCCAAACTTATAGTGCTCTTCGTGAATTTTATGGTATACATACACCCAATCGAGCGATGTATTCGCCAAATCATCAAGAAATTTCAAAAGAACTTCACTCTGTTAGATATTAAAATAAAGACAAGAACAAAAACAGTGCGTTTCCAAGAAAATATCATCGCTGTTGCCGACAGTGATGAGAAAGACCCAAATTTGTCAATTCGTCGAAGTTCGCAGAAAGTTGGGCTTTGTTATTGGACTACGTGGGAAATTTTGCGGAAATATCTTTATTTTCTTTGTTGTAATGTTAAATCTTTGGTAAATGTAAATAAACCAGAAACTATTCAAGACTTGGAAGCTAACATAACTCTGACAATTGCATAAATAAAATGGTCGGAAATTGGATTAATAGAATTCGCTTTGTTACAAGTAGCCGCGGAGGACATTTGTCCGAAATTATTTTTAAACAATAATGTCATTGAATGTTATTTCATATAAAATAAATATTTTTAAGATATTTAATTTGGTTGTTATTTAATTTGAATTTAAAGTTCGGACACTCTAAAAAAATTACCCTTTACATGCAGGAAACTGAATTGACAATGGCAAGGCAATTCTTACTTTTGTACAGGCAAGGCACCAACTTGACAGTCAATCTGCAATTGCATTTATTCACTCAAAAACGTCTTTTTTTCTTTTTGAAATTTTTCTTTAAATTTTCTTGTTCTCAATGTCTAATATTACTTTTTACAAAGCTAGAAACTACTAACCCATGGCTAGCCTGTCTACAGAAAATCTTGTTTATGTTGAGCATGTGCCTTGCTGTTCCCCATCTGGTTCTCTTTAATTGTCTAAGCTCAAAAATGAATCATTGAATTTAGAAATAACTCACATATTGTCACGTATTTTTAAATGGTTAAAAACACAATTTTAAGTTTTGAAAACAAGTTATACTTTGATGTAACTAAAAAAATAACTCCTGATGCAAAAAATGTATGTGTAAGTAGAAAAAATTATAAAATAATCAGAAAGATATTGAATACCTACAATTGATAAATGTTTAATTAAAATAATAATAAACATAATAATAATTTAATATTTTATATAATAATTTTAAATAGTTATGAAATACTATACTGCCCTACTATGGAGAAAGGCAGTAACTGCAAAAAAAATGCAAAATGCGTTTTCTTGTACTATGGTAAAGCTATGGACATTTTGTAACTGAATTCAACACAGAAATGCAGTCAAATATCTCATAAGTTAAAAAAATCAATCAAATACCCACTGATTTTTATAAAAATATAGTTTATGCTAATTTTTCACAAATTTCTTGTTTAGCAGTTACTGCCTTTCTCCATAGTAGGATATACCTACTTTGCCAATTTTTTTATTTTTTTAAATTTATGCCACTGTGCAAACTTGTTCAACCATTTTTTAAATGAATGTAACTACTTATAAGTATAGGAGTATACTCCTAGGGAAGTCTTCAATCACTTTTTCAATAAATCACTTAAATAACAACACTAAAAAAAATGTTAAAATTATATTGTATGTCAAAACACATTTTAAAATTGTAATTCTTTTGTGGCAAAGGCATAAGATTTGCTTAAAATGTCAAAACCGATTTTAGAATGTTTGAATTACATTTAAAAATATTAAAACATAATATTCTTAGGTTAAGAATATCAAATAAAACTATATTAAAAACTTAATTTAAAAAAAAATATGAAAAGTAGTTTTTTAGGTTTAAAAAGTTTAAAAGGGTTGATATTTAAAAAAGTTGCATCTGAGGTAAAAATGTTTCACAGATCTATTTGAATGGTGATTGATGTAAACGATTTTCTGTTTTCTCGACCTTTCCCCCTTTTCCTAAAAATTATTTTTACCTTCGTCAAAATACGCCTGCCGCGGACTTTTCCGCTTTTGGCAGATTTTTTTGGCTTTGTCACGGATTTTGACATTCTTGATGTGGTAACTTTAGTGTAATACTATGCTTTTTATACTCCAATTAAGTAATTTTCATTGATAACAAAATTTATTATAACCTCACTTTTTACCGATTTTAAAGATCATTATAGTCGCCCCTCGTATATATAAACAAATTTTACATCTGTTAACCATATTTTTTTCCAATTTAGAACCCGATTGGTTCAAATACAAGTGAATATTGAAATCAGCCAATCACTGATGCCTAACAACGTGAATAATTATTCACGGAATATTGAACTCATTAATGAGTTCAATATTCCCGTTGTTATGCCGGGCGGTTATATTGGTTACCATTATTTACAAAAAAAAAACAAATAATGTCAATAATATGCAATAGGAGTAGAAAAATGAATATATTAATTAATATTGTTTTCAACAATATATT